AGTGTCTTTTCTTAAAATTAGTAGGAAATCTGCTCAAAGTTTTCATTCAAACTTACTATTTATTGGATTTCATTTATTTTTTATGGTTGTATGTGGTTCCTATATCCCCATGCTGATGGACAGTGTTGGTCAAATCATATTTATATTTAGTACGATGTTCAGATGTTTGTTAATATATCAGTGATTAAAATGTGTCTTGTAGTTTTTATTCACAATTATTTACTTGTTCTTGAGTAGTATTCAAACAGTGAAGGCCTGCAAAAACTGATTTTTACAACCAAGTAGCTATTCAATCAAACATTTCAGAGTTGGTGTGACTGGGACAAAGACCTTCCAATGGATTCAACACATACATATTATAAAAATAAGAGTTATTATTATGACAAGATCACAGAATTTATTGGCATTTGGTCTTGTAGGGCAATTCACAGCAGCTGTTGGAAATTGCATGCTGTAATCGTTCGGAAGAACTGTGACACTGGTGACTAGTGCTTCTTGAATAATAAGTCTGTATGGAATTCATATTGATTACTTACCTTTCAGTCGTGAAAGTATGATATTGCACAAAACAGTTGTACAGAATTCTGATCCTTATAAAGTGAAAGTCTACAAATATCAGAGCCCTTTGTTGAGCAGACGTGAAACATAATTGGTTGTTATCACAGGCTATGGTCACATCCACTTGGTGCAAAAGAAGAATGGCAAAGATAGAGGCAAACTGTATGCCATGAAGACGATGAATACATCGCAAATATTTTCTGCAAACAACGGCCCAGAACGGCACAACACTGAATGTTACATCCATCAAAAAGTAGCTGACCATCCGTTTTTGGTGGGAATGTATTACCGCTTTCAGACAGAATTGAAGGTGTGCTTAATGCTGGGTAAGTATATAAAAACTTCCTAATTCCACAAAATTTGAGAAGTGAATTTAACATCTGAACAGAGGTGGATGGTCAATGGAGTGGGAGAGGGCTGTTTCTGGTATACGATACGCTCATTGTTTTAAATATTACACGTAATAGAAAGGAATGTACTTGTGTAGGTCCTTTAAATCAAGTACAGGACTAATTAGAACTATTAATCATTGGCTTAGTAATATTCCCTTTGGGCATAACTCTCTTTATTTTGAAGTATCAGGCAGTACGGTTACATCTTGGAATGTATACAAGTATTTATTTGCCTCACCATCTTAAAACAACTGTACGAAAGGAGACAAATCTTTTAAGAATAATTACAGTTCTATGTCACAGCTAACCTCCTCCACTAAAGTATTAAAAGTTTCCTAAAATTGGTGTAGCCCTTATATGCATACTGACAACTTCATAGTCCCTGAATAGTTTGGCTTTAGGAAAGCTTAACTAACATAAAATAATGTTATCTATATTACATTCTTTTGGCTTTCAAGGAACTGCTGTTAACAGGTTTAGATCAAATCTTACAAACAGAAAAAAGTGGAACTCAAACCATCTAACGTATTTTCAATCTTCTTCTCCAACTCGGATATTGTGATACGTGAAATTCTGCAAGGGGTCAATATTAGGACCTTAATTTTCATAACTAATATAACTGACCTTGCTTCAATAATAAGGAATCTTATCAGAACCCATAATATTCGCTGATGACACTAGACACTAATGTACTGAGTCTAGATAAAACAAAATTATTAATAAAGTCTGTAACAAGTGATTCACCAGAATGTGCCTTAAGTATTGGATGCAATGGAAGATATGTAGAAGAGTCAGAAAATACAAATTCTCATAGTCCATGAGTTGATAACCATCCAAACCAGTAGAGTCATATCAATCAAATATTCCTGAAGTTAAGCTGGGCGTGTTATCCAGTTAGACAAATGCTTCATATTGTCAATATTTACACACAGTAATTAATCTATTTCACCTACTTTCAACCTATAATGAAGAATAATTTTTGGTAGTACTTCATCTGATTTTTACTTTACAAAAGACCATCATAAAAGTTATTGTTACTGCAAAACTAAGAAATCCATGTAGAAGCCTACTTCAGTAACTGGAATGTTTTCCCCATTAATAAACTTCATTATAAATAACATACAACTTTTCAAACAAATTCAACTATACACAGTGTGAACACAAGGAATAAGAATAATTTTCGTAGACCAATTGCCAACCTTTCGTTTATTCAGAAGGCGATTATGCTGACATCAAAATCTACAACAATCTACCAATCAGTTTCAAAACTATTTTACATTAAAAGGATAAATTTGAAAGCAGCATTAAATACACACACTTTTGATTCTGTTGGTGAAACCCCAGAGTTCAAAAAGGACTCATAATGCTTTTAGATTTTACTGTACGTATATGTTGAATAATCATGATTAATAGGGGCTTATCTCCTGTGTAGTAGTCGATTTAGTGTAACATTTTATTATTTTCGTTAATACCTTATGGTTTATGAAATTTAATTAATATACTTGTGACTGGCCAGGCATTCTGTGTGTGAGACGGTCACCTTGGTCAAGAGGCCTGCAACAGTGCAAAGCTCAGAAAGCAAGCTAATGAATGTTTTCACTTGTACTCTTCTGTATGTTTTATGCTCTGACTTTTTCCACATCCTACAGTTAAACTAAATTTTGAATCCTTGAAACGTGTGTGAGTGGAGTATTAACTCTACCCTCATACACAAGTACCCACCTGCCCAGGTACACAGTTCTTTAAAAAACATGGTTCAGGATCATGGGCTGACAATCTGTGCTTAATTAGTTTTCTAGCTTTCTAGTGTTTTATCTTGTTTTGATATTTATAATATATCATACATTATACAAAATTTAATATATTTGCTGTGTCACTGGTAGCCCACCCACAGTATAAAATATCAGTTGGAATATTTATCAAGGGAAAATGTTTTCAGGGCAGCAATCAATATAATGTTGTAGCTTCGAGGTTGAGTAAATTCTCTGCTCATACTGTATATGTGCATGTGTGTGCGCACGCAAGCATGTCTGTATCTATGTACACACACACATGTACGGTGGATGCTCCCACTGACTGAGCATTCTGCATATATTAGTTTGAATCATTCTGACCAACATGTGTTATGTGCTGTGGTGTAAACACATTGTTTTACTGCTCACTTTTTGTGTTATGAGTCATGTTTACAGATGACTGATATTTGTATATAGTGCGTCTACAGGTTTGCACAACAGTAAAATAAGTTTCAATGTCAATTGACTGTCTTTAGACCAGGTAATACAAGAAGTTACCACGACAGAAAAAGGGTGGGGTATTATTTACTTTCCTGTCAAAAATCAAGTATACTACTGTCTTGCAAGAAGATGTTCAGTGCAACTTTGTGAACAGATTCTAGTTCATCACTGACTGGGGGAACAATTTGTCGCTTCTTTGTGAACTTTCTTTCAGTTTTCAGTCTTTAGCAGAGTGTCACTTTGTAGTAACACTGTTGTTGACCTGAATATACAACACATTGATATTCAGTGACCTTTAGTAGCAGGAAGTAGTGTCCTTACAGTAACAAGGTTGTGTTATTATTTTTCCAGATTATTATCCGGGTGGCGACATGTACCATGTACTACTTGAACAGGGCGTGTTTAGAGAGAGTGCAGCTAGACTTTACCTAGCTGAGATAGTCCTAGGTGTAGAACACCTGCATCAGGTAGGCACAAATAATTTATGACAAATAAACGTTCTCTTGTTCATTTGAAGTTCTGTCTGTTACCCATCCAGTCACTTTTATCAACAACCCTCATGTGTGTTTCTATTTACACTACCTGGGGCTTTAAAGCAAAATTCACACTAAACATTCTCATCAGCTACAACTGTACCTCCCTCTCTTGTCTTTCTAGCACACTGCTATGATACTGGTATGATCATTACATATAATACTGATTGTTGTACACCTCAAAGTATCATGAATTTAGGTACATACACTTCTCAGCTTCCACACATGATCATACTACTGTTTTTCTCTGTAAGTGGCGTGGGAGTCAGGGATGGTTTTGTTATCAGCATAATGTTTAAATATGAATAAATAGGTTTTGAATAATTCTGTTAGACAAGAAAGCTGTCTAGTACTGTTTGTCGTGCACCAGTAGCTCCTCTTGTGCCCCCTACAGAAAATAGGTGCACTGAAAGCTTTCAGCTCTTTGCTTGTGATACTCTGCAGTAGCAGGCTGGTAGTTCCTTGTAGGATGTAATAATAACGACAGTAAAGATTTGATTCCTCAGATAATAATGTGACCAGAAAATGGTATGGAGTCTAGAGTATTCAATGAAATAAGAATTACTCTTATAAAAGACTCTCGGTCAACCAGCCGCGTCACGTGGCTTAATGGTGAATGAACCATTTCTTCTGCCAAAGTTTTGAGAGCCATCTCTGCTCTGGAAATGTTGACAGAAGAAATGGTTCATTCACCATTCAGCCACCTGACGCAGCTTGTTGCCTGAGTCTTTCATCAACTTCATTCTCCACGAAAGCTTCACTTTATACATAAGAATTATTTTTGATATCAGGTGTTGCATTATGAACGAACCCAGTCTCTGTCTAATACTACTCCTGCTGTCCATGTACCTGCAACCTATTCTGATCATTTCTCTTTTGAATAAGAAAAGACCTGTTCCACACAGTTGGCTTCTCATCCACAAGCTTCTCTCCTGGATCTTAGTCTAGACAGAATCGTCATACCATATATTCTTCACTCAAACAGAAACATTTCAAGGGACCTGCTATTTAATTATTTATAATATATTTTGTTACATAATGAGAAAAGTAATGCACATACACAACAGACATCTGACCATAACTGTAGACCACACACCAATGATAAACATAGGGTGAAATGAACCATTAAATCAGAACAATCACATTTCTGTATGCCAGTAAATGATATGGACCCTTCTAGATTTTTCTGGTTCCTCGACACCCAAACCTGAACAATAACAAACGTCTATAATTTAGAGAATCATTAAATGAAGCACATTAGTGTAAATAACGCATAATAAGTTTCTAAAAACAGAAAGAAATCTGTGCTCATGTTCCTGGTCTTGCAATAAGCCACCACCAATACTTGGTATTGTATGCATATAGTCAGTGTATCAAAAGTGAAGTGGACAGTGTGGCTAGTCGGCACATTTCTAGTCAGCGTGCCTTGTGAATGGGCACCTTTGGTAATCTAGTAGTCACCATTAGTTGCACAACTAATCTTATGCTAATAGGTTCTGGTTCACTTTTAATTAGTTCTTTTGTTCTCTTAATACTTGTTTTCTTCAGAGGTTCTAAATGCTAATGTATATTTCTTCTGGTATATATTTTGTATTAAGTGTAGAATAATGACAATGTAGGTGTTACATTTACTATTATCATTTAAACAAAATCTTGGATGATAAATACAGAATTTTTATTCAATATATGTTTTTGGAAATAAATGGTTGGGAGGGAGAGTAGCCAGAAGGTTCTCTTAGGGTGTCTAATACCCTTGCGTCAGCCCTATACAAATCAGCAACAACATAGAGCCTCACTCATATTCTACATCACAAACTTTGTAAACAATTTGTTGATTTGTTTCTTTCAGCTTGGAATCATCCATCGAGACTTGAAACCGGACAATATACTGATAGACTCTGAAGGTCATATAGCCATAACTGATTTTGGATTAACTAAGTCATTCCTGTCCTACACAAAGGTAAGTTTAATATCCTTCTTATCTTTTGTCAAGTTTATATTCAGAGAAAACATAGGTTAGAAATGTAAGAGCTACGTGGACCGCTGTTTCAGTACTCTTTATGTGAGGGAAATCCAGGCTTAGAAACCATAAAGACTGGAGAGGTTTCAGGAGCCTGAAATTGGACTACATATTTAGGCTGTTCAATTAGTACCAATATTTAATGGATAGTAAATTTAATCATGTCAGAAGTTCTCCGAATTTCTAGGGGTCAGTTCAGGAGTGTGGAACTATAATACATAAAACTTTTTTGGAGTTTCATACAGGGCAGTGGAGTCAGTACACAAAACCTCGGACTACTCAATTTTTAAATCTCCCAGGCTGGCGGTGGCTCACATGGTAGTGAAAGTGTTAAAATAGTGTTTTCTTAAGATTTTATATCGACATTGGAGTCGGAGTCAGTACATTTTTACCGACTCCAACTCCCTCTAAAATTGCTTCTGAAACCAAGACTCTGACTTCACAGCCCTGGTTTCATACAGTAGCTGCTATTATCAAATTTATAAACCATTAAAATCTACTAGCCTTCGGTATTAACCACGATCAAAGTTTTATTTCTGTTGCAAGGAAGTTAGTTCCTAGTTGCTTTGTGTTTCAAATTCCTGTCACAGTCATTTAAAATGTTCTTTCCATCAACAGAAAAATCGTGCTTACTCGTGGTGTGGCACTCCATCGTATATGGCCCCAGAGATGATTGACTCTGAAACAGGCTATGGCATTGTAAGTATCGAAGACCTCAACAAGGTGAAAATAATGATTCCATTCTTTCATGTAACTGAACCAATACTATGATGAATGTAAAGTAATAAGCCATCACGTTATAATAATATGGGGATAATGATAATTAACAATAAAAATCTTATTATCTCCTGTTGACATAAACTGATCCCAGGTGCATTTACACATTGTAGTTGTTCTGATGTAGGTTGTCCATTAATTGAGATTAGCCGATTCTAATGGACCCTACAGAGTAGGAGCCATTTCCCTTCATTACACCTGAAAATGAGGACAGATCCAGCCCTTGAAACACTGTGTAATTTTATAACATCAAACGATGGACAAATTTCAAAAATTCAGACTATATTACACCATCATCACAACAATTCAGAATAGATAGAGAGAATAATTAAATATCTTTGGCAATATGTCACTTTAGTTTTGGGGCAAGGTTGGCCATATAACCTTTTTTATCTGTTCCGAACGGAGATCAGTGTATGTCATAACATTGTTATAACATGTAAATACAGAAATTTCCCTGCAATTTAGGTTTAAAAATATAGTGCATTTAGAGGTAATGAAGATTAACAAGCAGTGTGGAAATTACATGTACACTGTTATCCTGACATTTAAATGGATTCTGACTAAATTTATTTCCACACAGTTGGCCCCTGTCTCATTAAACATCACTTGGCTGATTTTCTGACCTAACGGTGCTGACTTCTGTTGTCAAATCTGTAAAATTACAGGTATGGCAGGATGTGGCTGTACCTCCTGTATCAGCCATATTCCCCCCTTCAAGTACATTACATGAAATAAATAAAATAAGAAAGAGTACTTAACATACACGGGAATGTTCCATTTTAACCTGGAAGCAATAAATGAACAACACAGTTCATACCACAATTTTTCTATTTCTGGAAACCCTTGTGAAAATGTCTGATAGTATGAAGAAATGAAAATGAGTTACTGCAGCTGTTCTTAATTTGAAATGTTGCAGGAAGTGGACTGGTGGGGCGTTGGACTTATCTGTTATGAGATGCTGTCAGGGTGCTCGGCCTTTGAACCTGGTGATGAAAAAGGCTTTAAAAAACTTTTTGAGTAAGTCATTAAACTTTTTCAAGAACAACTGACATAAGTGTTCAATCTGAACCTCACATTGAAGAAAGTTCTATACAAACTAGTTTTTGACAATATTAATGGCAGTAAAATAGGTACACACATTTGGAACCTGCAGATAATTGGAATTAATCAAAGAAACAAAATGCTAGCACAACAATTAAGAAAGAAAAGGGTTCCAAAGGCTGGAAAACATAATATCCGTGTCATGTTTAACATGGACCAATTCCCCTATCTCTTGCATGATGTTCCTTGATCTCCTTGCAAATCAGACACTGACCAGGCATTTTATAACTCTGCAAGACATAGTCACTAATTCCAAGGTCATATTCAACATGCATGTTTTTATAAAACATGCATACAAACAAAACTGTTTACACTTTGAAGGACACTAATGCCAAATGCATTTCGACTTCAACACATCATCAGTGGCAAAACCAATTAATTCATATAATACAAATCAAAAAGTTTATAGTTTTTAACAACATAAAAGATATGTACTTTACAAAACCGTACTTACGTAACACCTCACTGGACATTGATTGCACAAGAGTTGGTGTATTGAATTGAACACTTGGCTTTTATGTCCACTGGTCTTATTGCTGTTAACGCCCATGCATCGTTGAAGTTCACAGAGACAGATGATGCAACCGTGGCTCACCGCAGATGAACACTGGCAATCTTTTTGATTTGTATTATATGAATTAATTTTTTTTGCCACCGATGATGACCTCTTGAGGTCGAAACGCGTTTGGCATTAGTGTCCTTCAAAGTGTAAACAGTTTTGTTTGTATGCATGTTTTATATTCCAGTACACTACATGGTATGCAAGGTTCTAAGATGTATGTTTTAATGGTAAATATAAGAATGGACCTTTCCTTTGCAGACAAATTACATCGGTGTCACCGGTAATACCGGATTGGCTTTCTGCTGAGGCAGGACATTTTATCTCAAGTTTATTGGAGAAGAACCCATCAGAACGGCTAGGAACAGGAAAAAATGGTTCTCAGAATTATATATATATATATATATATATGGTTATAAAAACATGGTCCAGTTCTGAATTGTTCCTTGTCTATGTAATGCACTAAGAAAACCAAGCGCAGTGCAAGTTGCAAGTTTGAGATTTCTGAAACTGTTCCCAGAAGATATAATTCCTTTTAGAAATCAGTATGTTAAAAGTGTGATTTACATCCACAGCAAAACAACTTGCATGTAACAAATGTCATACGTTTAACGTTATCAGTACACAGGTAGCAAGATCACAGTAAATATTTTGGGAAGAGTGCAGAATGTACTGTCAGATCAGTATTTCAGTACATGCCATAAAGTTTCCAACAACTTACTTTAAACTTTGAAGACATTATTAGGTGTCCTCAAATGTACCTCACAGTACCATTAAATAACTTCAAGGACAGACAAAAATTTAAAGCCAAGCAGAAGACTGCTTTTCAAAATCCTTGTACCCTATGTACAATTTAAGGAACTTTTAAATTGAAGTGTTCTCACTTTCCTCTGCATTCAAGGTCTGGCATACCACTAATGCCTGTTCTTCATCCTGCAGGGTATAAACTGGAATAATGTGTCAAGGAAACTGCTGACGATGCCACGTCTGCCATCTTGTGTAAATGAGTCTCAGTCTGTTGACAAAGATCTGAGAATGGAATGTATAGTCCACTTATATGCCAGTGGCAACAACACTGAGGTCAGTACAAGTAGTACTCTGGTGTTTTAGTATATAGTAATGCATAGGAATAGGGGTTATTTCTGTTGCTTGTGTTACCTGTAGAACAGGTTTTAGAAGCTGAGGTCTGTGTTGAAGGTATTATAACAATTAAGAATGTTGTGGCTGTCCTTAGCAAATATTTTGGTACTGTAATATTCATATTATCACATTCATGGAGTTTTATGAGTACTAATACCAACTACTGCCAAACTAGTGGACATTAGGGTGAACTGCATATAAAATAACAGTTAGATAAAAGTTTTCAACCCTAGAAATATGTGTTATGATAGCCGACTTCAACCTTGGCATTTCCTTAAAGTAACCTCATTTCAAATAATTGAGTTGCTTATTTATTATGACAGTCCTAAGAATTATCTGCAGTAACCAAAGAATGTTACTGAATGTGTCCATAAATCACAACCCACTTAGAAAAAATTAACTGATGCTTCATGAGTCTAAGAATGAAGATTTCAAAAATGTTGTTGGTGTTGCGTCACTGAAATACAGCTGACAGATGTCAGACAGAAACAGCAGAAATTAAATTTCTGAAATTAATTTAATCGCATAGCCTCTAAAACCAAACAGTGCACAATGAATTTGAAAATTTTAACAAAGACTAACAAAACATTTATAAGAATAACTTGCACATCATCTGTGAATTTACTAAAGCAGAATAACTCAAAGAATTTATAAATGTGCAAGTCAACTGGTCACAGATTTGTAGTATATCCTAGACGATGAAGAAAATTTTGCTTCAACAACTTTTTGCTACTCTTGTTGATAATGATCATAATGAAGAAAAAGATGAGGATAAATATAATTTATGCATAATAAATGTTCGCTGCAGTCTAATTTTTTGGTATGTAGTCATGTGCAACATCGATTATATACTCTTACTTGAATAGATCAGATTCTGTTTATGATGTGAGGTTTTCACAGCGGTGAGTATGAAGATTTCTGTCTTCTGGGTTGTTGCGCTGTGTAGTCTGGTCGATGTTTACCAACGTTTCAGAGGTCATACTGCCTTCGTCATCAGGGCGATGAGTATGAAGATTTCTGTCTTCTGGGTTGTTGCGCTGTGTAGTCTGGTCGATGTTTACCAACGTTTCAGAGGTCATACTGCCTTCGTCATCAGGGCGATGAGTATGAAGATTTCTGTCTTCTGGGTTGTTGCGCTGTGTAGTCTGGTCGATGTTTACCAACGTTTCAGAGGTCATACTGCCTTCGTCATCAGGGCGATGAGTATGAAGATTTCTGTCTTCTGGGTTGTTGCGCTGTGTAGTCTGGTCGATGTTTACCAACGTTTCAGAGGTCATACTGCCTTCGTCATCAGGGCGATGAGTATGAAGATTTCTGTCTTCTGGGTTGTTGCGCTGTGTAGTCTGGTCGATGTTTACCAACGTTTCAGAGGTCATACTGCCTTCGTCATCAGGGCGATGAGTATGAAGATTTCTGTCTTCTGGGTTGTTGCGCTGTGTAGTCTGGTCGATGTTTACCAACGTTTCAGAGGTCATACTGCCTTCGTCATCAGGGCGATGAGTATGAAGATTTCTGTCTTCTGGGTTGTTGCGCTGTGAAAACCTCAAATCTTACAGATCAGATTCTGTTTCATGCAAGAGTGAGTGTTGTAGAATTTGAGGTTTTCATGGCTATGAGTCATGAGAAGACAGCCATCCTAAGGGAAGGTGTTCTTTCTTTATTTCTCATTTTCTTTCTTTTTTGCTTAATCCCATGTCTCATTCCATACCCTTTTTTGAACAGGGCTACCATTAAAATGCTATTACAAAGGCTGTACACAATCAAATAAGCAACTAGCTCTTGTTTGTTCATGCACCGCATATATAGCAGCAGCACTGTATTTCTATACCAAGCGCTTGAAGAAGATTGGCGTGAGACTATATAGGACTGCATAACATATAATTCAGTGTAACCAAACATTCACCCTGTGTATGGAATAGATAGGAGAAAGATTCACTTTATATACCTGCTTTATGTTGGCAGATCCCATGACTTTAATTCAATTATCAGGAATGTCAAATCTATAAATGGGGTTCAGGGGGCAGAGAGATCATTTAGCCATTGGCTGCAGACAAGAGGTGGCATGAATACAGAGTGAGGCCTCATGATTATTTTTCCTCTTAGGATATGCACATTTGCAATGATTAATTCATTTTGTCATATTCTAAACACATAAATATGTACATAGAGAATTCTGTTAAGGAAACCAACTGAAAAATGCAATTGAAGATTTGCATAAAATATTGAACTTCGTGGAGCAGAGTCTTTTTGAGAAGCTAACAGTATGCTAAGCTAGTTAAAAAAAACTGGCCTTTTGTAACTTTTCTTAACAAGAGTTGTTAGCATCCCACCCAATCCCCATCTACCCTACATGCAGTCGTGACAAGGGCTCTGCAGTAAAGCAGCTAAATAAACTGGTCAATTGAATAAAAATTTTCTTGGATATTATCCATCGTCTAGTAAATATAAAACGTAAAACGAAGTTTCAGAGATGGGACTCTATCTCCGTCTTCAGGTTCCTACACAGTTGGGCCCACTAGATAGAGCTAATCCCTATCTCCGGATTAGATTTGATATAAATAAACTGGTGTTTGTAATGTGGATTTCATTGAGCTAACTCAGGATTGGGTTTACTGGTGGACTTTTACATATGGTATATTTAACATTCAGACTCAATACAATGGAGACATGTTTAATTTGTATGGGCCTAGTCAAAGATCTACAATGAAGATACATTTTTATGATCAAGTTTCAACAAAACATAATTTTGTGTCTTATAAACACCATATTAAATAAGTTCCTCTACAACTGAATTTGCTTACATTGTGACTTTGAAATTGGTTTTGCAGATCTGCACATATATCGCACCAGGATTGATACCTATCCAGACCCATGGCACAGAAACCTCTTATTAGCGCCCAAGATCAGTAAGTGATATTTTGGCTGCATTAATTTTTCAGAATTTTTGTCTTTCAAATACAGGCATAGCTCAGAGATAATGTGGGTTTGGTTCCAGACCACCGCAATAAAGCGAGTCACACGAATTTTTTTGGTTTCCCAGCGCATATAAAAGTTATGTTTACTCTATACTGTAGTCCATTAAGTGTGCAATAGCATCATGTCTAAGAAAACAATGCGAGACATTGCGAGAATTACCAAAATGTGACACAGAGACACGAAGTGAGCACATGCTGTTGGAAAAATGGCGCCGATAGACTTGCTCGGCGCAGGGTTGCCACAATTTGAAGAAAAAAAAGCAATATCTGCGAGGCGCAATAAAACAAGGTATGCCTGTATATGCAAATTATAAAATTAACAGCCATTGCTTTTGTTTTTGTCTCATGCAATAAAATATATTATATTATTCAGTCTTTAAACATATATAAGAAGATATAATAATTATTTAATAAAATGCTATGTATTTTGGCAATTTTTGCCATTTACAGGCTGTACCATAATATTATTATGAAATATTGTTACAACATTACGTGTGTCATCACTGGAGTGTCACAATAATATACAACAGAATTATGTGACTTTATAAATGCTAGATTGACAGACGTATTTGGCCACCTTCAGTTTATTCCCAAAAACATTATTATGTAATGGAGAGGCGGTATACACTTTACAAAATGTCATAGGTGGTACGGACATGTACAGGCTTTGGGGTTAGCTGACGGTTTGTCACTGTGGGGGCCCAGATTCACACCCAGGGCAGCCAATGTGGTACTGTAGTGAATAGTGGACAATATGGCACTGGAAAGAGTTATTCTCAATATCACTGCAATGATGCCCCACAGCCACTGATGAATCATCTCAAGGCTTGACACTGGGCCCATTAGCTGCTGCATTTCTATAGAGAGAGTCTCCCTGTTCACAACAAACAAGCAGTAGCTTGCAATAATAGAAAGACCATGTCATTAAAATATACAGGTCAAACAGAGAACAGAACTATGTGTTATATCCAATCTTTCATATCAAAAAGCAACGTAAAAGACCAGAAACAGTTGTGTCTCATTAACTTATGACATTTCCTGATTTTTGTCTACCTTAATGATGTATTCTAAAGCAAAGTTAAAAATATTTATTTATAGTTTATTTAAAGATGCTTTACCATTAACTCAGGCTATATATAATGGAATGAGCAGATGACAGTGAATAATGAATTTGAAAGGATGTGGAAGGAAGTAGCATGGCCTAATTTAAGGTACTATCATGGAATTTGTGTGGAGGGACTGAGAAAAATCACGAAAACCCTCAATCAGAATATCTGTCTCCGAGCTGAGATGTGAATGTGGGCCCTTCCAAACACACATGATAAATGCTAACCACTCAAATATGACATTCGGTGCCGAGTTGAGAGTTTAAAAGAAATGGTGGTAAAGCATTTCCTAGTTTCAGACCATACTGAATCGAAAATGAATGAGATAAATGTTTACTTATATGCAAAGTAATATATATTTGTTTATACCAAATTCAATGAAAATACTGTTTGCCACTTATGAGTCATAGGTTTTTGGACAACTTTGATTCTGGGGTAGTTATTCTTTATTTGAAATAAAATTAACAATAGTTTAAATCTCAGGATGTAATGTAGCACCTTCTGCTTAGATCAGTACTGTAGCAATTTGATCAATATCTGCTGACTTTTACCTTTCAGTGTCCGTGTTTCTCAATAAAGTACTCCATATGCAGAAAACATTATTTGGGATTATCTGCACTGACTTTTATATATTTGATCAGCAAATTAACAGCTTTTCTGACTACAGGAACTGTCGAGAAATATCTCTGTTACAGACTGGTGAGTGAACAATGATCACACATCCATGCATAAAACTGGTTTTCAACCAACAATCAAAGTGTCTGTGTGGTCAAGATCTAAGCCATAGGCTTGCAGCCTATGTGATAGGCTACACAGAATGCAAATTTATGTTTATATAGATAATAGAAGAGGCTCGTCAGAGAGAAATGATGAAAAAGAAGGAAGTTGTCTCATATGCTGTGCGATGTATAAAAACGTAACAAGATAAAATGTGTTTGCATGACAGTGTTATGTGCAATGTTACACTTATTGGTGTTGCAAGTTCCTGTTATTGATGAGGCTAAATAATGAAAATGCAGACATAGTTTATGCCTCTGTGAACTGTAGTGGGTAGGCAGGCAACTGAGAACATACCCAAGCTTCCTTCTTTTATCATCAGTAAACACAATTGGGTGAGCTGTAATTATTCTTGTGAGAGGGTGACAATGTCTCTGTGGAACTGCAGCCACTTACAGAGATGTTTTCCATCCTACAGATTATACATGAGTAATTATGGAGCAATGGTAGAATGACGACAGTGAAAAATCATAGGATAGTGAGAAAAAACTCTACCATTACCACTTTATCCATCACAAATTCCAAATATCTGGTAGAAGATTACTGGCGTTTCAGAGGTCCTTGCTGTCTCCATCATCAGAACAATGGAGGCAGCAAGGACCTCTAAACGTTGGTAAAACTAATGCCAGACCTGGCTGAATAAGTCCATGGTTCCCCATTCATGACGAACGTATTCTAAAAGCTTAATGGTCAGTAGCTAATAAGGTACATTATTTTCAGAATGATCTTTGGACTGAGTGAGGGTGCTGCATCGGAGGCTACAAATATCCTGGCTGTGACCAACTCCATGATGGGAATTACGCTCACTGACCCAGAGGCAACAGATTTTAACATGAAAATTTCTGTCTTCTGGATTGTTGTGCCGTGTAGTCTGGTAGATGTTTACCAACATTTCAGAGGTCAGTATGACGTCTGAAACTTGGTAAGCATCTGCCGTACTACATGGTGCAAGAACCCAGAAGACAGAAATCTTCATACTCGTCGCTGTGAAAACCTCAAATCATAAATAGATTTTAACATCTTAACATAGAGTCATCAGCGGCAGGCAACGCTCTTGACTTGAAGTGGAAAGCAGTTTGTGTACGACTCCTGTGAACCCTGAAAAATATTGGTTTTGTAATTATAAGATACAGTGACTTGATTAAATATTTTGTTGCACTGTATTGTGTTTTCATTACATCATTCAGACATTCTCCCTAGATTCTTAGGGATAAAGCAAGGAGGGAACTAGCTGCAATGCCACCAACCCTCTTAACCAGCAACAACAAAGTAGAGTAGGCTGGCTATGCACTTCAAACATGAATGTGATGTTTTCTAATGTTTTTCCTGTAAAACATGAATTTTCCAAAGATGAAACAAATGCGTGTTTTAAACAACAAAATTCTGTGTCATGGAATTTCATATAGACTAATAAATAGTTTTAAAGTATCATTTCCAGTAACAACACATTTAATATATATTAATTAGGTAATAATGGCAGTTATATTACAGCCATATAAACTGAACAGAATTATAATCCAAATCATCTATTATGCTCTGATTTTTTACATTTTAACCTTTAGACATACTTTTTATTAAATTTGTCATGCAGTTAGATTTGCAAGTTCTATTATTATCATGCGCAACATAATCATGGTCAGAAGTTAGAGCAACAACTTCAACACGTAATGGGCCCATCCATATGTCTGACGCTATGTCAGCTGCCGTCCAAAAACTGGAGAACCCCTAGGTATTCCCCAAGAGATGAAGCGAATCCAGGGGTCTGTACAATGAGGGTCCCTCTTCTACCAGAGGCTTCCACCTTACATCTTTCCCCCAGCACAGTTGTTTCTCTCTTGGCTGTGCCCCATTCAGCATGTGTTACGCTGATATACGTGTTCCAGTATGGGGAATGAAAAATCTGATCTGGAGCCAAACATGATTTAGAGAAATCATATCCGAGTTCATACACGATATTCTAATTTATTTAAATGTTACTGGTTGAGAAACACAAATGTATTAAAATATTCATCTATTTTTCTTTCAAATTTCATGCATATAGCCTACATAAAAGTAGGAGGCTCATGACAAAATCAAGAGCAGATTAAAATCAGAGAATGCTTGCTATGATTCAGTTCAAAATATTTTGTCTTCCCATCTCATTTCAAAAAATCTAAAGGTTAAAATGTACAAATAAATAATTTTGCCAGTTATGCTGTATGGATGCAAAACTTGGTCTCTCACTCAGCGGGAGGAAAATAGATTGAGGGTCTTTGAGAACAATGTTTTGAGGCGGACCTAAAAATGATGAAGATAGATCATGGAGGACGTTGCATATTGATGAGCTTCATGGCATGTACTTGTCACCTAATATTGTTAGGGTGATTAAATTGAGGGGAACAAAATGCACACGTGCCTACCACATTTGGATGAGGAATATAGAACAAATGACATTGACCAATGAGAAGCGCCAATTACCAGGACCTAGGTCACCTTGCGCTTTCTTAGAAATTTTGTAAAAGGTGTGAAGGAGCTGCAAGCCGAATCTGTGTCACTTGGGGCCATTGTTCGTCAGGATGTGCAGTTGGGGTGAGTAAGAAAATGTTATTTGTTCTATGGTGACAAGCGAGGAGGAACTGGATATGGTTCGGAGAAGGGGATAGGAAAGTGTGTATCAAAATTTGTTTAATTATATTGTAGGGTAGCATGTGGTGTTTGATTTTTAACGATCAAAAGTGCTACTCCCCCACCCAGTGGCTCCCGTCCTATCAGTCCAGCCAAGAGGGTTAACCTGTGGCAAAACACTAGGCATTAGTGGGAGGATAACGTTAAGATGGACCTTTGGGAGATATGAATCGATGGAGCGAAGTGAATGCATCTAGCTCAGGATCGAGTCTAGTGGCGAGCTTTTGTGAAGATGGAGATGAACTTTTGTGTTCAATGAAGACAAGCTGAGAATACAATAAACTTTTCAAAAACTTTCCTGCACCTCAGAGTGAGTAATCTACATGAAATGAATGTCAACAAGAATGTAGTGGCCTACTCCAGTTTGGACTTTATTTTCATTGAAGAAAATATTCGTTATGTTATTTTCCAAATGTCACAAGAATGAATTGTTTAATTCAAGATATAACATGATATCAATTCAAAGTTATGTTTCTTTCAAATTTTCACTAATTATCAAAGTATAACCTCAACATTCCAGCCTTCACACACTACAATGTTTAACACAGCATTACATAGCCTACTTTGAACCATAAGAAGCGAAATTAGATATCAGGTTCTCGTGGAGATAAATAAAGAAGTTTGCTATCTTCTGGAGTATTGTGTTATGTAGTCTGGTAGAAATTCACTGCAGTTTCAGAGGCAGTAAGCACCTCAGATATTTTAATCAATTTATACCAGATACATGGTGAAACATCTGTATTACACCAATCCCTGTAAAAAGTAAGCTTCAGTAACTCACGCTGTAATAAGAGTGCAAGGACATAATAGAATCATCATCAGATCTGTGGTCCTTTTCTGGTTCTAATTTAAAATCTTTTTCGTAACAGCTCAAGAGAGCCAAAGCCGACTAGCTGGCTGCTGGCCTCACGTTCACATGCCTAAGCAGAGGTGAACTATCATCTAACCAGATGTGTGGTCAGCACGACGAACCCGCAGCTTTCCTGACTGTATTACGCTACTCATTGTAGCTCCCCAATTTCCTCACGATGCTGGGTTGTCACCGGTCCCATACACTGGTCGAAAGCTCATGACAAAATTTCTTCTCCCCCGAGACTCGAACCAGCGTGCATTCCTTATCACCGGTCCGAAGCATGATGCCTCAGACAGCGCGGCTTTGAATTTCTTAAATTTTTCTATGTCCTCCTGTTCTCAGAGTTTCTGGCTTCTTTGCCTGAAAACAAACATTCTGATAATATTTCTTGCTTGGCAGCTCATATCTTAAACTGAAATGTTTTAATGCAAAAATCAAAACCCAAAGCAGGGAGAAATTTCCCCCCAACAAGTGCCCTTAATCATGTGCTGAATAAAACAATCTAGTGACGAAAAGCAACCTAAGAAATATGTCCTATGAACATGATGTGAATCTAATACCCATGGTATTCTTCGTATCATGATATGTGGAGCAATTTAACACATCAAATCCCAATTATATATAATTATGAAGGAATATACACCCTAAATCTTTTATTTTTCTGAGATTGATGAAGCAGCACCTAGGCAGAAGTTTTTCACAGCTGAACTGTTAAAGACCAGATGTTATAACTTGCGATCCTACAACCACTAACAGAAATTCAGTTACAAATACAGCCCAGAAAATTGTGAAGCGTCTTGTCTGCGCAGTGCATGAATTGCCTGTAAACAAGTGAGAAGTGGATGTAGGTGTGATTTATAAATCATCAAGTGCAGGTAATGCTTATGTAGTGCCAAATAAGATGTGGCAGCCTGAATTTACATTTTGCATAGAAAGATACATGAAAGTTGCTGTTGCCTATTTTAAATTTTGTAATATACTGGAATTCTCCTGGAAACAGGAAACAATAAAGTGAGAAAAGCTATCTCCAAACACCTTCCAAATGTGAGACTGACTTGAAGTAGTAACCAGATGTTCAGTGGGGAATAACTAGAGTACTCCAAACAGGAGATTTATAAATTTATAGTAAAAATGGAATATGACTACTTATTCATTGAGATAGATTTTACTGATACAGTACATTTTGTTTCAGGTCAGTGCATTTTGTGTTGTAACCAGGAAGCTGCAATGAGAATTGATGTATGATATCAAAACTACAGTGTGGCTTTAACATCCAGGTCCTTCCCCAGCATGCTTGCTTTGTTGGAGCCTAGTCCCTGGCAACTGCTCTAAGAGGTTTGCCCCATGGGGAACCAGACCTGGTCACTCGCATTTCCATTATCCTGGTTGCAGCATTAGTGCATGAATTACCTGTCATTACTAAACATGTAGTTCAACAAAATGATGGGACAAATCATCACGTAACAGCGGACTTTCTTCTC